TATAATGATTGTTATTTTTTATTTATAAGAAACACCAATGCTTCAATATAAAACCAAAAGGTCTTCACCCATATTTCAATGTGATCATTTGAAAATCTGATAGCTTTAATTAGATTTTTTTTCAGTTCTTTGGAGCATGTGAAATGGTTATAATATTTATTGAAATTGTTATAATTTGGCAAAAATGAAATAAAACAGCCAACGTGTAATTGAACCTACAAGAGTAACAAAACTGATTTACCAAAAACTCAAATATAATGCTTGTAAATGCAGTCAACAATTCTGGCTGAATCTTGAAAGAGTCCATGTCAGCTTGCCCATGCAGCACAAAGTGTCTGGGTCTGTGTGAAGCCCACTGCATGATAACCTTATACTTAATTCCGTAGTACTCCTTTGCCAACCCTTCCTACATATCAGCTGCTACCAAAATACCCAATGTTTGCTGGTGTCAAACCTTGGAAGTAGTGGTAACTTCATTCCCTCCGTCATGCTCAGTCCTAGCAGCCTAAAGGCTGCCTTATGGGAGGAGGTCACATTCTCCCCTCATACCTGAAAGCACCAAATACTTTATCATAGAGGAGAGAGCAGCTTGGGAGTGCTAGAGAGGCGAGTATAATATGGTGGGCTTTATACAGACCCTATCATGGGCATGGTAACAACGTCTGTTTTAACAGCAAACTATCCAAAATACATATTAATTTGGCCACCATAAATTCACCCAAAACTGAGGGTTGGGCAGCTTGATTTGTAACTTTTGGGTTCAATCATATAAGTAATTAAACAAAATTTAAATTTTTTCTTTAGTTTCAATGCATTTTTTCAGTGTGTGGTGTAAAGTGATATTTTTTTTTTTCCACTTTCAGTTATCTTTTGTGGAACGATCATAATTGTGATCATAATTCCAATAGTGATTTGGGTTGAATCAAACAAAACTGCAAACGTAGTGTCATTGAAAGCAAGTGTTGGCAAGCTTAATCTAAAAGTGGGAACTTAGGTGCTATTTTTATGGTCCCTGAAAAATCAGTTTTGGCTCAACTGACCAGTTTAGATTACAGCTTTCATTTATTTAACCACATTTATCATTCATTAACATCTCTTCATGCTAGGGCCATTCAGAATCAAACTGAACAAATGCATGTAGTAGTAAATTATTAAACTGTTGCAATCCTGTCTACATCTCAACACTGTTGCGGTGGTTGCAAGGAATAAAAAATTGTAAGCTTTTGACAGTCACAGAAAAGCATAGCTAGGCTTCAAACTTTAAAGATGAATACAGTATATAACTTTTAATATAGTTGAGCTTAAACAGACTCTGTCACTAAGTAAAAAAAATGCAAGTAAAAGCACAATAAAATCCAGTTATTTAAATGCTTACTTGCAGTGTTTTCTTCCTTTCCATAAATGTTTTTATTTACTTGCTGTATGCTTTTGAACTTGTTAGAAAATTATAATAGCCCTGTCCTCTTCTGAGAATGTCTAATTACCCTCTGTACTGGTCCAGCTGCTCCACCCCACCCTTTACCTCCTTGTACAACCTTTAGTGCAGCTGCCAGGGCAAGAGTAAAGGGAAATACTATAGAACGTTACTGAGTGTCATCTCTGAGTCTGATGGGCTTTTAGATGTCTACACAAGGGAGGCTTTCACATGTAAATTACATACATGAAATATGTTAAATGCACATGCACCGATTAGCCATAACATTAATACCACTGAGAGGTGAAATGATTATCTCATTATAATGGCACCTGGAAGTGGGTAGGATATATTAGGCAGCAAGTGAACATTTTGTCCCTGAAGTTAATGTGTTGAAAGCAGAAAAATGGGCAAGCATAAGGATTTGAGTAACTGACAAGGGCCAGATTGTGATAGCTAGACAACTGGGTCAGAGCAACTCAGAAACTGCAGGCCAAGGCTCATTGATGCACATGGGGAGCGAAGGCTGGCCCATGTAGTCTGATCCAATAAAAGAGCTACTGTAGTTGAAATTGCTGAAAAAGTTAATGCTGGTTCTGATAGAAAGGTGTCTGAACACACAGTGCTTTAAAGGAGAACTATGAGATGAGTGATTTCCACTCACCTCATAGTTCTAGCCGACCTTTGACAATGAGACTGTCACGGGTCGGCTCAGTAGATCGGGAGGTGAGCGAACACATACCGGGTTCGTTCACCTCTCGATCCTGTCACGGCTCTCTGCTGTGACAGGGGGAGGGGCTGGATTCCTCTCTCCCCGCTCCGATCTGCCAGCGCTGACTGGCGGAACGGACGGGGGAGGGGGCGGGTACAGCTGGCTCTGCCTCTAGATAGGCAGAGCCAGCTGTCACTCACGCAGCTGGGCGGATCCCGACGTCCATGTCGGGATCCACTCCGGCTGCTGCGTCTCAGTATACCGCGAGCTGTAGCTCACGGTATACTGAGCTTAGAGTAACGGGAGGATGCTAGTTTGTGTCCTCCCGTTACCCTAAGGAGAACTATGGGGAAAAACACTGACCCCATAGTTCTCCTTTAAGCAATGAGGATCACCCACACTCAAAGGATGAGATTAATCCAAGTGTTCTTTTATTCAAAGAAGCATGTCACAAGTGTTAAAGAGCTAATGTTTTGGAACCATGCATGGTCCCTTCATCAGGACAAGCATAGTGACCAGTGGTCACTATGTTTGCCCTGATGAAGGGACCCTTTGTGGTTCTGAAACATTGGCTCTTTAACACTTGTGACATGCTTCTTGTTTGTTGCGTATGTGGCTTTGTGGCTGCAGATCAGTCAGGGTGCCTATGCAGACCCATGTCCACCACCAAAAGTGCCTACAATGTGAGCTTTAGATCTGGACCATGCAGCAATGGGAGAAGGGGACCTGGTCTGATAAGTCACGTTTTCTGTTACATCATGTGCATGGCCGGGTGCGTTTTTGTCACTTGCTTGGGGAATGGATGCACTATGGGAAGATGGCAAACTGATGGAGGCAGCATGATGCTTTGGGCAATGTTCTGTTGGGAAACCTTGTGTCCTACCATTCATGTGGATGATATTTTGACATGCACCATCTACCTAAACAATACTGGTGACCAAGTACAACCCTTTCATGGAAACGGTAATCCCTGATGGAAGTGGCCTCTTTTATCAGGATAATGTGCCCTGCCACACTGCAAGAATCGTTCAAGAATGGTTTGAAGAACACAACAATGAGTCTGAGGTGTTGACTTGACCTCCAAATTCTCTAGAGCTCAGTCCAATCGAACATCTGTGGGATGTGCTGGAAAAACAAGTCCAATCCATAGAGGCCCCATCTCTCAACTTGCAGAAAGGAAAAGATCTGCTACTGATAGCTTGGTGCCAGATACCACTGCATACCTTCAGCGGTCTAGTGGAGTCCTTGCCTTCATGGGTCAGGTTTAATTAGGTGGCAAAAGGGCGAGCTTCTTAATATTAGGTCAGGCGCTCAGAATTTATGCCTGATCGGTGTATAATGTTATTGGAAGATTTTTGTTGAGTACACATTTGAAATATGAAACAAAACTAACATTGCTCATGCAGAGTAGGCACCTCCAAGTCCCTATCAATATCATTACAATACACAGCTGCAGGTCACCCCAGGAGCCCACAGTATAAAAATATTAGTGGCATGTAGATCTGCACACTGTGCATCTCTTAATGTAATGCCAGGCTCCAGAGAAGCTAAGAAGCACTATGCAATGCATTGATTAGATATATTTAGAATGTATCACCGTGGCCTAAATTAGGTTGTTAAATAAAGTTGCCCTTGGGTTTTGTAGGTTCCTGAGACACCTTGTAAAGGTAGGATATTATACGAGCAGCAAAATAAAAACAGAAAAGCAGAGTGAAGGAATTATGAAAGTCGGATAAAAGTAATCATTTCATTTATTTTAAGGAAAGAAAGTTTGTTGGAGGAGCCGGACAAATAAGTGAGAAGTTAATGGAGCTTCTTCAAGATCGAGTCAAGCTACAAAGACCAGTGGTCAGACTTGACCAGTCTGGGGAAAATGTAATTGTGGAAACCTTAAACCATGAAGCCTATCAGGTAAGTGCATACATTTCCCCAAAACTATATCCTATTATATAACTGGGTATTTATATAAAGGTACCAGTGTCATTTAGCTATCTGGATGAGTGGAACGCATGACCAAACTTTTACTGAAATTGCACAGATCAGAGTGTTTGGATTTTGGAAGGAGCAACAAATGTTTATCGGTATCTTCTGTGTCCAGGCCAGCCAGCCAATGATTGCACAAATGTGCTTCTTCTGACTTAACATTGTATTCTGTCAGTCATAAAGGGTGCATATTTATGCAGCTTAAAGAATTCTGGGCAAAGAAAAGCACCCTTGCAATTAGTCTACCCCTGCACTGCCAGGGTTAAGTGTTTTCTTTTGTCTAGGGGACTAAAAAAAAAAGCTATTTTACCTGCCTAATCAGTGCTCCCCTGCCCCTGTCTGCTCCTCACATCTAATGCAGGTCAATGGAACTGATGTGATGATGTCAGCAGTCCTTAGACTGCCAGAGTGAAGGGGAGAAAATACTGCGGGGAGCAGTCTAGCAGCCTAGAGGGAGCCAAAGTGACTGAGGATTGGGCAATTAAAGCTTTATTTGAGTCCCCTAGACAAAATGAGCACTTAAAGGAGAACTATGACATGAGTGATTTCCACTCACCTCATAGTTCTAAGCCGACCTGTGACAATGAGACTGTCACAGGTCGGCTCAGTAGATCGGGAGGTGAGAGAACACATACCGGGTTCCCTCACCTCTCGATCCTGTCACGGCTCTCTGCCGTGACAGGGGGAGGGGCTGGATTCCCCTCTCCCCGCTCCGATCTGCCAGCGCTGACTGGCGGAACGGACGGGGGAGGGGGCGGGTACAGCTGGCTCTGCCTCTAGATAGGCAGAGCCAGCTGTCACTCACGCAGCTGGGCGGATCCCGTCATCTAAGTCGGGATCCGCTCCAGGTGCGGCGTCTCAGTATACCGCGAGCTGTAGCTCGCGGTATACTGAGCTTAGGGTAACGGGAGGACGCTAGTTTGTGTCCTCCCGTTACCCCAAGGAGAACTATGGGGGAAAACACTGACCCCATAGTTCTCCTTTAACCTTTGCAATGTGGGGGAAGCCCCACTGCAAGGGTAAGTTTTTTTGTTTGCCCCGAGTTATTCTTTAATCTAAATCAGACAAATGTCACATTGCTGTCTTTGCCACAGTTCTGTGTTTGCTTTGATCGTAATCATGGTTTTTAGAGTTAATGAATAAAGTCAAAATTGAAACTATAAAAAAATCCCTTTAAAAAAATACTACTTATGTACACTAGCTCTTGCTCTCATCAGAACTGATTTTCTTACAATACAAGTCGATGGTGATGCAAAAGCAGGCCGATGCAGCATGGAAACTGCAGGTTAAAAATACATTTATTTGCAGGGAAATGCAACCATGTAGGAAATTAATGGGAACCCAGAAGCATCTAAAATTGAACTCAAGCACAAGTTAAATGTACCTGAAAGCATGCAACATTGGCTCTTCTACATAATCCCCAAAAATGATAGAGAAAGACATGTTATGAATTGCTGTTGCAATACTATCTAATGTATTAGTAATTAATATAATAAGTGACAGGGAGTGGGAGTGGATCTTGCCTGCTTTTTAATTAACAAATGAAATATTTCTGTATTGTGAACAAATGAGCTCTCTATTAGTTCACTTTCTGGGGAATATATTAGAAATATTAAAGCAAAATGTAATTTTAAATCAGCTTCTAACAGCTATGAGGTTCAATAAAACTGGTCAAGGACTTTTAAATTATATTGACATTCTGCTTTTGAAGGAGGTTTATAGTGAACAAACTGAAAAAAGAACTCCAGGATGCACATCATCACTTTATATATTTAGGTCCCCCTCAGTCCCAGGAAGCAAACTGTTTTAATAATTCATCATAAAAGTTATTTTCTTGTAAGCCTTATTTTTAGCTGCCAATGATGTCACATCCTCCTATTATTAGATCAGTCATTTCTGCAGCCAGTGTGTGTCATATCCTGGCATAGAGAGCTGACTACATCTCCAATGAGGCATTATGAAATAGAGAAAGTAGGAGACATGTATAGGCAGAGCTGTGGGTGGAGATGGGAAGAGTTACAAAGTGCTATATGCTCCAGTGACTTTAGTTTTTTTTGTTTTGTGCAGACACAGGAAATAGATACATTACAGGTGCCTCTGCATGACAAATTCCCCTGCTTTTAAGTCATCTTACCTCCTCCTAACAGTCCAGCAGGGCATCTGGATGTGTGTAATAGCGATGTCCAGTTCATGAACAAATTGTTCTTTTGAATCGATTCTTTTCAGTGTACTGGATGAAATTATTAATCTGAATGAACTGATAACTGATTAATTTGAAGGGGTTCAGTGTTTAATCAATAGGACAGCAACATTAATATGATCCTAGAGTGGGAGAGGTCGGCTTCTGGCATCCCTCTACTGCAACCATTCAGCCAGCTAACCGTAAACTGAGAATCAGAACTTAAAACAGTTCTACATCAAAATAAAGCTAAAGCCCTTAACTACGTACCATTTACCAAACAGTGGCAAAACAGATTCATACCATAGTTTGTGATCTTTTTGTTCAATACCAGACTGTCTTGGATTTCAGAAAATATATAATGTTTGGGGGTTTTAAGTAATTTTCAGGCCTAAAATGTGGATTATAACATAAAAAATGAAAAAAAGTCAGTTGTCCTTAAGGGGTTAGTAAAATATTACTGTGATTTTAAAGCATAAGTGTAAGCAGATATAAAAGGCCTAATTTATTTAGTGATAGAGTTAACAATAAAAAAAATGTAAATATATTTTTTATGTAGAACCTTAAACTGTGTTTATATTCACCCCCTGCAGTCCTCTGACCCCTAGCATTTAAGGGGTAAACTACATGCTTTATATTGTTTCTTTGCAGTGTTTAATTGAAAGGTACTCAATAAATTTATATGTATACCTGATGTAATTGTGTGAAGATTAAAATAGCATATTAAACATAAAAATAATAATTATGAAAGCATCATCTAAAAGATGATTGCATATATACTTACAAGAATATCATATATGTAATAACATATGCTAACATAATTGCTTACTATTTTTGCTTTCTTTCAGGCCAACTATGTTATCAGTGCTATACCGCCATGTCTAACTACCAAAATCCATTTCAATCCAGAGTTGCCAGCCACTAGAAATCAGTTAATACACAGACTTCCCATGGGATCTATTATAAAAACCATGATGTACTACAAGGAAGCATTTTGGAGAAAAATGGGTAAATACTCAATTAAACAGTCTACCACACTGTAAAAAGAAAAAAAAATATGATTTGTACAGGTTTATTTTAAATTTATAAAGTCTGAACTCCAAACAAAATGTAATCTAATTATATATTCTTTAAAAAAAAATTGTGTTACCAAGAACTGGAATATGTTTTACATTTAGCTAGTAAAAGTACCTAAATCCATCTTGATATCAGTCCCCTGTAATACCCTTGCACAGTAATACTCACACTGGGAGAGGACGAGTCAGCACTCTGAGCCGGTGAAGCCCCTATTGCTTTGCACAATGCAGTCATTCTAATTTCGTGAGCATGCTTATGAGAGGGAAGAGTAACAGGATGACACAATCAATGTGTTGCTGCTTCACTGTCCAGAGGCTGCAATGAGTCTTTGACAAGGCTGTATGTGCTCTGTCTAATGGGGTATCCTGGATCACAAGACTGCCTGAACAAGATTACAAATATTTTGGCAGGTAAAACCGTGTCTATGGACACACGCAGGGCTGTGTGTGTACATAAACACACACAGCCCTGCGGCAGGCCACGTCCCTCCTCCCCGCCCAACAGTTTGACTGACGGCAGAAGGAGCCTATGGCTCCTCTGCCGTCAGTATCCTCCCCCACAACCAGGAAGTACTGGACAGAGGATCGCTTCAGGGTCTGTGACAAGTGGCGCTGACAGATAAGTGTGGATGGAGTCTAAAAAATTATTGGGAGTTTTTCTACCTTAATGCAGAGAATGCATTAAGGTAAAAACCGCTTAGACTTTAGTACTACTTTAAAGTTTGTACTATACCATTTCATTGTGGTTTAAAATGGATGTGAAGTAGCAAATATATCATTTTGGTTTTGCTGGGATAGCATTAGTCACATATCAGACAGTAATCATGAAAACAGTCTGTATAAAGACTTATCTTGCAGCAATGAAAAATAAAAACTATCAGGCATTCACTAAGAAATAAATGAAGCCTTATGCGTTTTAGAGTGCCATTTTTGCATATCTTAGCAAGTGAGTGTGTGCTAATGTACTACTGTTTAACCATTTCTCTAATATAAAAGTTCTCAAATTCTATAAATGTTCTTTTGATTCTGGGCATTCTTTCCCTTAAGATTACTGTGGGGCCATGTTTGTTGAGGATGAAAACACTCCTGTTGAGATTGCTCTAGATGACACTAAACCTGATGGTTCTTGCCCAGCCCTTATGGGGTAAGGAAAAGTTGTTATTACCAAGTCTTACCAAGAACTGGAATAGCTACTAGCTATCTGTTTTAGATCTGGACTACAAAAATTACAATTACAATCTGGTTGCTAGGGGCAGACCCTTCAATTATTGTTTTCTGTTATTTAGGACTAAATTCACAATTTCTATAAAGTAACTTGTACTTATAAAACCATCATTTTTCCCCACTAGAAAGCATTAACATTAGGAGCTCCCCTACTGTAGTGCATTCTTAACATAAGGGTGACTTATTTTTTAAGAGCCTGTGAAGTTTTTTGTATAGCGTTACAGTTTTTCATGATATACCTTGTGGCTTCTACTTTGTAGGTCTACTTTCACTGTTTTTATTAAGTTTACAGTTGCAAACTTTACAACACAAACAGGGGAATGTTTTAAAACCAGAGCAGACAAAATCTGGAGCAGCTGTGCATGGCAACTGGGGTTGCACAGATACCAAGTACAGTACTCGGTACAAGTACGAGTACATTTACCGATACTTTTGAGCTCCAAGACTAGACTAGAGAAAAATTAAACAGTTAGGAGGCAGCTGTCATTTGTAAGGAGCATACGGAGCTCCTGGGATTTGTACATCTCTGTTTTAATGTACGATTTTGTTTTTATAAATAAAGGGATGCACAGATACCAGTTTTGCGAGTACAAGTACTGATACTTGCCAAGTACTTACAAGTACGAGTACTGATAAATTTTTGTTTATTGTCATGTGACAGTTTTTCTAAAACAATACAGACTAATGATTTCAGGACAGTGGTGGAGCGCCAGAGCCAGGTCCCAGCTGCAACCGCTGCAACCCTGGTAGTTCTCGTGAAAATGCCAAGTATCTGCACTGGTACTCGAAAAGTATCTGTGCATCCCTAATGGCAACCAATCAGCATCTATCTTTAATTTTCAAATCTTACCTTAACAAACTAAAGAGAGAAGCTAGTTGGCTGCCATGGGCAACGGCTACAGATTTTGTCTGCTCCAGTTTTGATGAATTCCCTCAACCACAAAATGGGTACCAAAACATAAAATTTACAAAGTGAAATTATTGAAGTTCGGCCATCCCGAAGACATGCCTTCAATATTAAATGACGAGTGTTTGTTATTGAATCTATACTAAAAAGATAGGTCTTCTGGCCAACATATGCAAGACCCTTTTAAGATTTTTCACATCTGAAGAGTCCCTACACAACAGGGTTATTCACAAAAGGGTGAAGTGTTTAGAGAAGGCAGGAGAAGTGAACAATCTAGGACACCATAGCTGAACTGGACAGTGACCTGAATTAGAAAATGTTCCCAAATCAGCTATTTTGGTCTAGATTTTTCACTTCTCCTGCCCTCTCCAAACCCTTCACCCTTTTGTGAAAAACCCTGTAAGTTTTTTGTTCATTGTGCTAGCTTGCAACACAGTTCTTTGTGCAGCACTAAAGGTTTAAAAAAGATGAAAAGTCCATGAAATTCAACCAATAGAGGAAAAAAGGTAAATAAATGGAAACCTCCATTAGAATAACCCTATACCCATGTTTGATCCGGAAGAAGGCAAAAAGCACTTACAAACCAAAATCCAATTTACTCTAAAAGGATTGAAAAAATCCTTCCTAAGCCCAACAGAAATCGGATATTTCTCTGGTCGAACAAACACAAAGGTCCCCAAAACTGCCAAGACCTCTAACACCCTTATAATTACACAGATCCTAACACTTAAAATTAATCCACCTCATAAACAATACATTTTAGAAACCTCCCTGCAAAAGAACACTCTTATTACTTATCTCTCCAGACGGATGCAAGTCTAAACTTTGCTGTCTTGAAGAGTTATGGCCTTAAAGGAAGCTTATAAGTCCATAGGTGGTGAAAGGTGTACCTTCATTCTAGATTGCCATAGGCAAAGCAGATGGCATATGTAAGTACATTCAGACAGAAATTATGAATAATAACCCTTTTTAGTTATAATAGGATTCTTTTCTGGGCTACAGTTCTGCTTTATTGTCCCCCTATTTCTTTACATATATACAATAACCTGATCCCAAACTGACTACTTAACCTTCACTCTACCCCTTAGTACTTGAAATTGATATTGCAACTCTTATTATCTCCCCCAGCACTTCTGCTCTGGCTGCCTTTTTTTACCTATATCCTGTATTTACTTTTACCCATATATTTTTTATTTTGTTAATACATATTTCCATATAAGTAAAGTAAAAACGATGAGGCGTTAATTAATATTCTATTAAAAGAATGAAATCCTAATTTTTAATGTTTTAGTTCTGGATAAAGTGGGGAAGAGTTTACATTTCTGTGAGGTTTTGATTTCTGTTTTTACCCCATTGGGAAGAATTTTTTGTTTCCCGCTTCCTGCCACTCTGACATGAAATTGGAGGTTTGGTTGTCACCAGGACATGAAGGTGCAGACAGCAGTTTTCCGATAACTTCTGTCTTGACAGTAAGTTAAGGGAAATATTACGAACAGGGAAACCTGATCACGGCTTAAAGAAGAACTCTGAAGTTAAAAATAAAAGTTATACTCACCCTAACCTGGGATCTGGCCGCTGTCCTGTCTCTTCCTCCAGTGCATTAATGGCATGACCCTCTGCATCCTCAAATCCTATGCACTGTATAGAACGTGATGACTTTATAAATAGACCATGTTTAAATAAATATTGTGTTATCATCCAGTCCCATTCGTATGGCTGTTGAGCAAGCTGACTGCCTGTAAAGTCCCAAACTAGTGAGCATTTGCTTTGCCAAGCAAACATGGTTTACCCTTTTAGTAAATCATCCCATTTTTTTTTTTATCTGCCTGCAGATGGATTTTCAGTAACTTTAACATTTGGTGAATATGAAATATGTATGTGCTATATACTTATTTTTTTGGTTAAAGTTTAAAAATTATATTTTCGCACTGAACATATTGTAGAAAATACAAAATAAATAAAATAGATTAAAGCCCAATGCCCCAAAGGACTTCCTCCCACCAGCAGTATGTTTTGCTTCTCATATTTATTTATTTTTTAACTTACCGTATATACTCGAGTATAAGCCAAGATTTTCAGCCCATTTTTTTGGCTGAAAAGTGCCCCCCTCGTCTTATACTCGAGTCAGCGCCAGCGCGTCTTCTTACTTAACTAATGTCTTCTGGCTTCTGACTGGTCATGTGACCTGCTTGATTCTTTTCCCATTTGGTCTTTGCTGGCTGCTGCGTGGTGCTAGATTATGCAGAGAGGGGTGCTGTTCTAATGACATCAGTGATGTTCTCTGCATCACTTTTTTTTAATTTTTTTATTTTATTTAGGAATTCATTTTTTATTAAATAATATTTTTATTTTTACTTTAGTTTACTTTTAGGGGCTTCGGGGGAAATATTAGGGATCTAAACAGACCCCTGATATTTCCCTTTTAAAATAGAAAAAGAGATTGAGGACACAAAGTCCTCAATCTCTTTTTCTGTATCCCCTGTTATCAATGAACAGGATTCCTCTGAGTGTTCCTGTTCATTGATATCATGAGGGCATTGTGTGTTTTCTATAACCCCAATTATGTATGAACCGGAGGGGATGTAGATCACTCCCATTCATTCATCATTGAGGCTATAGTCAACATGCTATGTCCTCAATTATCTACAAACACTCAGCGATCACTGAGTGTTTGTACCCGCTCTCCATCCTGACACATTTAGCCAAAAGTGCAATTATCGGCCGATATGTTTCGGCGGCCGATATATCGGTGCAACCCTAATATCTATATGTATATAGATCTATATACATAGATAAAATATATATATATTTTAACAAAATAACCCAGGTTTGGGGGTTTTTTCAGATTGCACTGGGGTTATGGTGTGGATTTTTGTTTTGAGGTAGATGTTGCTTAGTAAAATTATTTTTTAAAGGAGAAGTGCAGGGGCAGTAACACATACTCTTCCCACTGCTTAGAGCCGGTGTGGGACACTGCAGCTGTCACACATTGGGTCTATGCCGAGAGCTTAGTGATCATGTAACCGATGATCCCTCAGCTTATGGTCTTCTACCTGCAGAGAGCAGTTACTGTCAGTCACTCCATGCTGCAGGGATTCCTCCCTTCACTCTCTGTTCTTCCAGAACTCATTAGAGCTAAAGACAGTGGAGGGGGTGGGCACAGCTGGTTCTGGCTCTAGAGAGGCCATCTGTCGTGGATCCAAATTATATTATTGGAATCCTTCTTGGCCGCGGCATGGCTTTTGAATGTCGGCAGATAGCGGGCATTAGCATACTATCTGCTTACTTTTGGTCACAGGAATACATCAGTAAATGTATTCCTGTGACCCACAAAAAGGTAAAGCCTTTACTTCTCTTTTTTAAATCTGTTTTGATGCAGATATTTCTTGGTAAATTTGTTCTGTAAATTAATATAGATACCAAAGATATTAGCTGCAATAAATAATTAACTTCTCTTCAGCTTATTGTTTTTAAGCTCTAATAAGAAACTAAAACGTTTCCATGTTTATGGATGAATGTATCTCTAATTTTATTTTTTTCTGGATTACACCTTAATATGGCATATAAAATAGTTTTTATCAACTGAAAGGATAACAGTGTTTTAGATTGGATTGACTTTGAAAACTAAAGTGCATTTTGTAGTGTTTTTTCTGATCTTTTCTTTATTGCAGCTTTATTTTATCCAGGAGGGCCACTGCATTGACGCATCTTACCAAGGAAGAGAGGTACGGTTATTTTTATTATTATTATATTTATTATTCTTTATTGAGTGTGAGGGAACGGTGTACTATCTCTACCCCTATATTGATGTTGTTTTGTAAACTATGGCTTAGTGTAATCAAAATATGTCAAGGCCTCTGTTTTTTAAGATTATATGCTATTGGCACATGGGTAACTATCCAAGGCTGCATCTTGCTTGTTCAAATGTTTTGACACTCTTTACTTGCCTACTATTATTAACAATTATGTTATCATTATGAAAAAAAATATTTTTACATTGTGTTTTGTAAGTAAAGTATAACATGTTTTACTACTATTTATTATTTATCTACTGCATATAGAAAGAAAAGAATCTGTGAATACTATGCCAAAGTCTTTGGTACTAAAGAAGCATTGCAAGTAAGTTAATAATGTGTTTTTCAAATATTATTTATAAATGGCCTTAGTAACAGGTCTCACGTTATGGCTTTGGGTAGGTGTGGCGTTATGTCAAGCATGCAAGTCACTGTTTGTTTTGTTTAGGTTTTTGCACATTTGAAGATTTTTTTTCTTCTTATCTGTAGATTAACTGTAGCTGTTTTATATCGATTACTTTTGGCCATTCCTCTACTTCATGTTTGCTTTACTACATTCCTGTGAGGTTAAGTTATGTACAATAACTTCAGTTCACATCCGGACTGTTTTTCTCCCCATGGTCAATGGAAATGCAAAAACAGCTTGATGCACCTTAGAAGAATGCCAAATACAGGTTAGAAGGTGGTCAACTGCAGGTTAAATGCATCTGTGAAGGTAATTTCAAACTGCTCTCAAATACAATCTGAATACAGCTGAAACATCCTGCATCGGCCCATCAACACAAGCCCTTCGGAAGGCATGGTCCTAGAAAGCAAAAATTGTCCTTGCCCTCCCACGTGAGGCACCCTATCCTAAACTAAGTAACTTTTACACATGTACTACCAATTTCTACAAAAAAAGGCATATTACAGGTAATCTCTAGGCAAAATTGAAAAATGAGCCATGAAAAGGGAATGGAGCCTTTCTACTTAGGGCCTCAGTTTTTAGTCCAGACATAGCTGCAGTGTACAACTTTGTGCACTACAGATTCGGTGACACACACTGGAAATTCCCAAAACCACCCACTATGGGCTCCTTCCTGTCTTTACCATATGGAAAGCATGATCTACCAAAGTATCAGGGATAAGAAGTGTCTCACAGCCACAAATCACATTTGAATCTGCCTTCAAATGTAGAATATGATGGATTATAGAAAGTTCTACATTGCAGCTTGAGGAAGCAGGCCTACACACCTCACGCATAAGAATAAAAACCTGCTACAATGAATTATATAGATTTCAGAATGAGATAAACTGAACAGACTTCCTGAATTTGGCACAGTTACAGATCTGGAGAGCATTAAAATTTACTGATTGATTTTGCCTGTTCCCTGCTATTGCTTTTAAACAGGCCAGGTCAGAGAGCTAAATTGCTGAGATAACTCTTATCCTTTTCTGCAACTAGAATCAGGCCAACCAGTACTAAGCTCTAGTAACACTCTGTAGTAATGCATTTTTTGTGTAAGTCAGAAAGCGGAATCACTCATTTTGCCTCATATTATTAGATGAAAATACTGGCCAGATGTACATAAAAGTGAGCAGAGCAGTAAACAGAAATGATGTATGCAGTCCAGTTGCTCACACCAACTTGCAACACTAAGATGATTGGTGGTGGGGGTTTGACAAAGTACTATTGTGCAAACACAAGAAGGCAATAAGAGATTTGGCGTGGACTCATTAAACTCAGAGGCCCCAGTGCAAGTTCACTGCTTATATAAGAAGCCATTCAAACCTTTCTGCCTAGGGAATTTCTAATAAAACAAAGAAGTGTTACCAAGTACATCCAGTACCAGTAGTTTTTATAAGGTAGATTAGTGTTAGGAAGTTCAAGCCATTTGTCAAGAACTGGATGAGAGGTAGACAGCCAGCATAGTGCTATCGATTTGCAAATTGAGAATAGCAAATGAAGTGTTAATTTGTTATGGGGTAGTAGGCAGAGCTTGTGGTCAAGTGGGACTGGGAAGCCCATATGAACATATATAGGTGAAAGATTGTAAGCCAAAATGTATGTATGAATGGACATTCTCAGAGGAGATTAAAACAGATTTGGTCTAAGGAGCCACACTTGGGGTAAGAGGAAGAGTAGTGGGGTAAAATTTTGGCAGTCAAAATAATAAATATGCTTGGTGGAATATCTGGATAAGTCTTTCCTTAAGACAAGGAGAAAACGGTTTAGGAGCCTCTAAGGCTTCCTCCATATCCTCTACATTTAGCATGGGGAAACCTTATTTGCAAGCATGGCCGGAATTGGATAAAATTTACAGGGCCTTGGGTAAGAGCAGGGAGGCATAGATAGATGTCTCCAATCAGATGTTTTTTAGAGTCTTAATGTAGAATAATGATCAAGAGGGAGATTGTAACCATGAGTGATTGGAACAGAGTTTGTATAGCATGCAAATTTCTAAAAAACAAAGAGCATCCAAGGGGATAATTTGATTAGAAAAATTGGTAGGTAGCAAAACTGCCAGCATATAGCAATTGTCCTAAAGGAGACACGTTCTAAATCAAAATTGTGGATCAGGGATTGGAGTGTAGAAAGTTGGGGTTATTTCACAGAGAAGTGTAAAACTCTATAATAAAAGTGAGGAGGATTTTTGGAGGATTTTAACTAAATTAACGAGGTTTGTCTTTTAATGCAGTTAGCTACGGTAGGTGTCCAAGGTGTAAACCTCAAGGTGCGTACGGGGAATCAAAGCCTAACAATTCAGGTTTATGAGCACCAGGGTGTATAAACCAGCAGCTCAGTTATCCTGGATAGGTGAGCTGCAAAGCAGTAGTAGTATTTTATAGCTAAGATGTAATTTGGAATTATTCCAGATGAAAGACAAGATAATAGTTAGCTTCCAGAAGATAGGTTGGTGAAGGTAAATAGGAGATTGATGAACTACATATAACATTTTGGGCAATACAATACTTTTTACTATATTTATTTGTTCGGCCACTAAAAGTGGTGACTTAGACCAGGCTCTGCATTTCTGATAAACAAAAGAATTCAAGGAGAGCACACTTTCAATAATGAAAGCATGCAGGTCTTTAGTAATAATGGTGCCTATGTATTGGAATTTAGAGCCCCAGCAAAGTGAATAAGCTATAGGTGCAGGTGAGGTGGACATTGGATCTGTGGCGAAACCTGAGTGAGACCTGAGTAGTAGCTGGACTTTCCTATAACATTTACAGTACAGCCGTTCTAAAAAGAGTCATTGGGCTTAGCTACAAAAAGCATCATATCATCTGTATAAAGTGATATTTTTTTTGGTCTGTGAATAAAAAGTAAGCCGTTCAATATGGGTGTGTGCACAGATTCAAGCTGTTAGTGGTTCAGTGGATAGGGCATGTAGTAGAGGCAATAAGGGGCAGCCATGGCTTTTACCTTGTTGAAGATGAAAAGTAGAGGATATTTAGCCGTTCGTACAATCTCTGGCCATTGGGGAATGTGTACAGTAAATTGACCCAAGCAATAAAGTTATCCCCAAAACCAAACCTGCCAAGGGCTGCATGCATTAAGACCACTCAACAGAGCCAAAAGTCTTCTGGGCATCTAAAGATGACAGAATTCTGCTACCCACATTACAACGGGAGCATTGTATTTTCTCAAAGACTTGTCTAATGTTAATAGGAGTTATTTTGCCTGGCATGAAGCCTGTTTGATCTGAGTGCATGAAGTCTATTGAGCCTATTGGCAAGAAGTTTTGCAAGAATTTTGAGATCAGTGGTCAATAGTGAGATTGGCCAATATAATTTCACAATATCTGAGGTCCTTGGCAGGTTTACGGAGCACAACAATCCGCACTTCTTTATATGCTTATAAATTTAATATATCCTGTTTTAGGGTGGCTCCTTTCCCTTACAGGGTCCTTTGGAGCCACCCTTTTGTGTGCTAGTAAGCTGTGTGTATCTCTACAAACACACAGGCACAGCAAGGCAATCCCTTCCCCTGCTGCCTGTTCCCCACTCTTCTGTCCACCTTCCTTCTCCAAGCTTGTAGACAGTTGCTTTGTCTCTTGTGATCTTGTCTTGGATGGAAAGTTCAGGGAAACTGAGCTGAGATAATTGGAGCCAGCTGTCTGGAAACATGATGATTGTAAGTGCTTGGGTAGAAATTTAAAGAACTATTTTGCTGGGCAATGTACATTTGTTTGTTCTGTATTTATTATTGAATAAAAGATTACGCATTTTATACCACTTTAAGGCTTCACTTTTTCCTGTGAAGGCACGTTCTACTAGATCTGTCAGTGCCCCTTGGGCTTTTCGACATCAATTATCTGCTATGCAGATTTAAGAGGCTGCCACCTGCTCTTTTGTTCATGCATTTATTAAGTTTTACCAGGTGATCTCTGCTGATGCTAGTTTCAGCACTAAGGTGCTACAGGCTGCTGTCTCTGTTGAGGTTTTTTCCCCTTTGTTTTGTGGGCCCTGGTGGCAATTGTTTGGCCACCCCTCAGTTCTATTGCTTGTGGACATCCCAGTTGTCCATGAATCTGTCGGTGTCCTGTATTGTACAATCAAGAAAATGGATTGATTTACAAGTAAAATCCGGTTTGTGGAATACAGGACACAGCATCCACCTTTCTATATCCTCTATTACTTGCTAAAAAAAACTGAGGAGTTCCTGGGTCCTCACAGCTCTACTCAGGGTCCTATTACCTGTTGATACCTGCATATTACCCAGTCTTCTCTAAAGCTCACTACACACATTACAGTCTGATTGTACCATATCCTTTAGCTCTACCTACAAGTTTGTAGTAGTAGTAGTAGTAGTAGTAGTATTACTGCCTGATTGGACACAAATTGATTGGATAGATTAAGTTGGCACTTATATTACATAGTGTTGGTAAATTTAAAGTTGATTGTACAAAGATTGTACAGTCAGATTGTAAGGTGTGTGGTGACTCTTAATCTGCCAGTATCCTGTACTATACTACAAGGAACGGATTTTGCTGGTAAGTCAAAAATCCCAATGTTGTCCAGTTAGGGTTTAGATCTACTTTATTTACCAAGTTAATAAAGTTAGTAATCAACTCTTTAGTTTTTTTAAGAATTTGGCCATTGAGTCCATTTTGCAATATTACCAAATTATCCTGAGTACTATTTGACATGTTCAACTTTGGCACCAGATAGTGGGTACTGTACAAACATGCAACTAACTACCTGTTAGCCTAGACACACACTATTATTCATGGGGATGTATTAGAACAGGTAAACATGCCAGTTAGCTCTTTGTTTAAGCTAAATACCTCCTTCCTTCTCAAAAAGCTTACAACAAGCAAACATTTATTCTTAGCATTCATTTAGTGTTTTTATTATCTTGTTTATCTAGTATAATTTTGGATTTTTTTCATATTTCCTCCCATGTTTTTTACATACTATCTCATATACAATGTTATCAGAAAAGCCTCTTTCACACGTGCAGCAAAACAAGTCGGTAACCCCACATTTTTAATGCTTTCCAACTGCCTACCAATACACCAGGGAGATTGCTTAATGGTCAGCGGACAGTGCACACACACACACACACACACACACTCATGAGCTTACATCACATTGTGTTGCAGCAAATAATTATACAGAACGTTGCGTTTGGGAGGCTTTGCCACTTGCCATTCATGTAAAAGAAATTGCACCTTAACCGTGCCTATAGCACTCAAGAACCATTTCTGAAGAGTTCACAGGACGCTGTGGGAAAAGCAATGGAAGTGCTTAATATCTTAGAAAGCACTAGGAAAGATAGAAGAGAGAATAGAACTGCTCCAGTAGCAACTTCTTTACTATTCTGTACTGTACTGTACCAGCACCAACCAGTGCTGGCAAGAACCAGCGCCTGTACAGATACTACCAATACCAGCCAGTTCCTCTACATCACCTACCCTTTAAAACAATTGAAAGCCAACACAGATAGGGCATTTGGAAAGCATTTAATGAAGCAAATAAAACATGTCTTAAACACAGGTTAACGCCATAAGCTATAGTGTTAATGGGAGTTCATAATTTTGTTAATTTTCGTTGCATGTGAACAAGGCCTAAAGGAAGCACTTATCTCTTTTTTAGACACTGCAGTCCATGTTTTTTTTTTTTTAAGCTGTCATAGTATGACAATCCCATTAGCACATGTGAATTAAAAACGATCAACAAAACATTTTCTGTGAATAGAACAGTGACCTAAATGAAATGATTTATTTTTTCATGGCCTGAATATACAGTACTTTTTGATGCAAGTAACTTGCTTTGTAATCCCACATAATGGAAATGGATGTACTCACATAAGAGCATTACAGTCCTTGAATGCTTTTTCTTGGTCTCAGCCATATTCAGTTCCATGTATACTACCTTGCATAATGAAATTAATCTTACTTGAAATCAATATACATTTAGTATATTTTATTGCATTTTTACTTTTAAGTATTTAATTTGAACTGTGGACATTCACTCCCAGCTGAAAAGTACATTTTCACTGTTAATTTACAATTTCAGGTCTTATATTCAGAAGCAATCGATGATGTTAGAAACCTATGCTAGCATCAAGCATTGTAGATAAATGTTACTGCAGGCTGAAAAAAACAGTTTTCTTTTCTCCTGGAATAATATGGAAATCAATATCTTTTTACTACTTAGATACATTAAAGGTGATGTCTTGTAGATAAAAGGGAATAATTTAAAAAGTTAAAATGCATTTTTTATCCTTCAATAAGGACATAGCATTACAAGTAAATCAGAAACAATTGGGTTATACAGCTTCCTGCAGGAAGAATTGGGGAAAAATAATTCATTAAGGGAAACATGATCAGAGGTCTCTATTGTTTCTGAATTAATTCTGATCCTGTGTCCCTTATTAAACTCCAAGGGACAGATTTTGCGGTAAGTGCAAAAATCCTGTTTTTGTTTCAAATTCTTAGGACACTCCCTACAAACAAAAATGTCTTATTGAAATGTCTTTACTGGTGTGTGTGTGGGGGGGTCCTTGGCATATTGGACTGCTGAAGAGGTGGTCCACTGCTTTTTGTGAGAGAACCATGAAACTAATGAGGTTTGCGCAGAGCTTACTTTGAATCCAGTTCTCCAGCATCCAGGTGGAGGTAACCTCTTTCTATTGAATACGTGCATAGGATCTGTTGTGGGATGGATCATTACTTATTATGAACCATCCAGCAGATACGCCCTAGGGTATATAAACCATAACAATGAACTTCTCATATTTGCTCTCTTTTGGTCTGATAAGTATGCAATAGGCAGTCTTATGACTATACGATAAGTGCAGAAAATTGTGTGTTACTGGCAGAATCACCAGGAGAAAATAAAATAAAAAAGCAAGACGAAACAAAACAAATGGACACACCACTTCTGAGGTCTGCAATATATTACATTTTTGTTTTTGTTTAAGATACGCTTTTAGAGCAACTTACAACAGTGGCAGCCAAGATGAATCTTATTTTTCAAAATGGCTCCCTGGACACATAGACAGCCTTCTATTACTGTTTCTTACATTACCATATAACAAATGCTCATGCTCTGCTGCAGCTAGGTAGAGGGTGATAAGGCTATTAATACATGTAAAGATAACATTGCACTAGCATGTCTCCTGCATTAATACTTAGGCAGCTATTCTATAGTGATTATTTGTGTATTTATGGTAAATGGCGTAGTAATGGAGCGCTGTTGTAGTTGTTTATTGTCTGTGTATTTATTTGATGATATTTATTACCAAACAGCCCGTGCATTATGAAGAGAAGAACTGGTGTGAAGAGCAGTACTCTGGTGGATGTTACACAGCCTATTTCCCCCCAGGTGTAATGACTCAGTATGGAAGGTATAGTAAAGTTACAACAAATATATACTCTATATACATAATAATACAGAGGGTATTTCCCTTGATTCTGTATGGTGGCAGCAGATGAAAGTTCATGCGGCCAAGACTAACAGAGGTAAAATTAGGCCCCTTCCTCACAGGCAGTCTGTTCAGATCTGCCTGTCAGTTTTTCAGATGGATCTGATCGCAAGTCCAATGTAACTCTATGAGCAGACGTATGTAAATGGACATGCGTGCATTTACACCCGCTTATCCGTCTAGGTCCAGAAAAGAAGAACGGAACACAGCTCCATTTTGGAGTACTTGATTGTGATGGATCAGAGGTAATAGGATATCGACTTCCCATAAACCATATCATTTAAAAAAAAAAGCAAGTTTAATTAATTAGCTCCTCAATACAATAGCCACTAAAGCTGCCAATAAGGTAATTTTATGTGGGAGAATCAAAGAAAATTTGTGTAAAATCTTTGCTAATTTTAAGAATTTTAAGCGTGCGTCAGAAGGGTATTTCCAATTCCTTGATAGATAAAACAGCAGCTAACCTATATGTATTTCAACAGTGTAGTTTAACTGCTCGGCAGGAGTGCCTAATGCCTAAAATATATTTTTAAGTGTTTATATGTAATTGCTCTCTCTCAAAGGAGAAGGAAAATCTGTCAACAGAGAAACGTGGATGTTTCATTGTTGACTTTTTCATGTCTGAGTGTTATGCTGACTCAATGGTCTTAAAGTGACACTAAACCCAGAAGGTCAATCTTAAAATTAAACATGAGATTGTAGTCCATTATGGGAGCGAGCATGGAGCGGTGGCTACTTTACAACACACAAGGGACCATGAGGAACAAAAGAAGCCACCCTCCAAAAGGAATTAGGGTGTCAGCACAAATTCAGAGGTGATTTGGTGGATCTACAGCCGAGTGGTACACAAATAGGGTTAAGTTTTGTTAATGGGCTACTGGAAAGAAGTTTTAAGATTTAACTCTATAGTGTTATTTTAATTCTTGGAGTCACTGGCTTGGAACAAGTATGCAGGTAATAACTCAGTGACTCAGGAAGTATTAAAACAGGTCAGCACAACAGCCAGGCATTTAGAGTTCAGCCATCATGTTTTTCTCATTACAGTTTTACCTTAAAGGATAACTTTATTTTAAAAACACTTTCTGCCATCTCTCCACCCCCTCAACCACCACCTTACCTACTCTTCCCTCAACCCGAGCTCTCAGACGAGTTGGGGACCTCTTAGTGATTTTGCAGTCATCTGGAGCAAGCAGGTTGCAAAGAGTTGGCTTCTCCATTGGGACTAAAACTCTTAAAAAGTTTAGTTATCTTTTTAATGTGCATGTAAATGTAAACAATGAAAATCTTTTTATTTAATCCATTTTGGTGTGTTCAATATATCATCTGAAGTGGAAAAAAACACATAGGGTGTTATTCACCAAGCCAAAGTGAAAGGAGCTATTCACTTCAGCCAAGTACGGCTGATGTCAGCCATACATCAGCTGGTTTTGGTTCAGCCGAACATGCTGAGCATGTTCGGCTGAGCCGAAGTGAAGAACATGTTCGACTCAGCCGATCCAAAATCTGGACCGGCTGAGCCAAACGCACAGCAGTTCACCCGCTGCTCTTAGCCCCTATTCTAATAGGGGCCAAATGGCAGTGAATGAGCTCAATTTTTCTGCTCGTTACCTCAGAGGTAGTGAACAGAATTTAAACAAAAAAAAACTGGTGTGCGGTTCCCCTCCCGATTCATATTCGGCCCTTTAGGTCTGGTAGGAATGTTAGGAGGGACCCCAAGTTGAAAAAAAAGTATGTGGGGTTCCCCTCAAAAGTCACACCGGGACCCATAGGTCTGGTAGGAATTTTAAGGGGGAACCCCACCCCCCCAAAAAAGTGGGCCAGTGCACCATACCAGGCCACATGTCCTTTGCATTAAGAGTGCCTTTCCAGGGGTCCCCCTGGAAAAGCACCTTCTCCCTATGACGATGAGGGCCTCTTCAGCCACAATCCTGACCGGGTGGTTGTGGGGGTCTGCGGGCAGGGGGGCTCACTTTCACTTAATAGAGGGAGCACCAAGATGCTGACATAAGAAAAAATCCTTTAATTAAAAAAAACAAGCAAAAGTTTTTGACTTCGGCAGACCATTCTCTCGGCTAAGCTGTATAACTATATAATTGATAACCCTTTTTATTATTTCTTCAATCTAGATTTTCCATAAACCGCATATATTTTTTTCTTCAGTGATTTCAACCAAGTTTTCAAAAACACTGTTTGAACTAGACTGTACACAGCAGCTTTGGGGATCGGCGTATCCTCAGCAATAGATTCTTGATTGGCTGGCCGCCATGAAGTAACTTTCATGCTTGTGCACGGGAGTTACTTCATCTTGGCATTCTTGCTCTGTGCACTAAGCTGCTATAAAAAAAACCTGCCTGTCAGAAATTTTTTTAAATGTCCACTTTAAACATACAGGGCATGACTGCACACTTGCTTTTTGGTACAGGTGTTCTATTGTATACATGGACTTCCTGTGTTTCTATTTTCATTTTCTCCCCCCCAAAAATTGTGTATTTACAGTGTGTGTTTGTGTTTCTGTTTATGACCGCATTAGGGGCTGTAAGATTGTGAGCTCTGTCAAAGACAGGGACTGATGTGAATGGACTATACCCTGTGTAAAGCGATGTTGAATGTATTAGTGCTGCATAAATACATAAAAAATGTTGATTGCATTTTGTCCTATCTCTGAAGTGTCATTCGACAGCCTGTTGGGAAGATTTACTTTGCTGGCACTGAAACTGCCACACAATGGAGTGGATATATGGAAGGTGCAGTGCAGGCTGGCGAGAGAGCAGCAAGAGAGGTATAAAACATTTCTCCTTTATAACTCTGAATGTGCAAAGCATTAAGAAACTAACTACCATATGGCTGTATTTTTCCATTTGTTTACCTAATGTTTAGTGATACAACTATACAGCCAATTCAAAGCAAAGCTGAACTTCATGCAATTATAAAACAATAACCAATTAATGCAGCTACATATTCGTTAAATTAGAGAGCTCATGTTGGCGGGTGTTGTTTTCCTGCATTTGGAAGCACATTAAACACAACTTAGCAAAATCCCTATGACTTTAATTGAGCACTACACATGGGAACTCAGAAGCTGTGTTTGACCTGCTTTGCACTGCGCTGCATTTCTTTGGTCCTATAGAGGTGCATTAAACTGCGACCATGGCAGGTCAAGCGCAGCATTTTTCTTGTCAAATGCTGTTTTTGCATTCATTTCAAATGCATGCATGTGCATTTGAATTGCAAATGCAGCAGTTGAAAAGAGCTCCCATCAGCATGAGCCCTATAATTTATTTTAACATGGTATTAGCTTTTTGTAATCCCCTGTACAACTGCACTTAGCGCTGCCCTCCCTCTCTCATTCTATCTGCAGTTGTGATATGGTGCATATGAGCTGGCAAGAAACATTCTGACAGCAGAAGAGAGCAGAGTGCACAAAAGCATGACTCAACTCTGTACTTCTGTAGTGCCTTTACTGTCCACTTACCGTCATGGAAGTGGGAAGTTTGTATTGCTTAACTATAATTGAGAGGTCATAAACTTGTTTCTTATGTCTAGTAGAGCTGCATATATATTATAAATGGTATGTAAAGTTGTGTGCCTGATGTATAGCTTTATGTTTTTGATTATTTATGTGATGTGATCAGCAAAATGTAAATATTTCTGTTAAAAGGATGCCAATGTGTTAGTGGGTATGGTGTGTTAATATATCATGTATTTACATAGTGGCAGCATTATTTACTTAATATTTACACAAGCTTAGCTTAATATTCAGTATCATAGAGTGGGCCAATGCTCAAATGTTAAACCAACTCCAGAAATTGTTTTAATTAATCCTTGTGGTGGGGTTACCCCCGCACTGGAACGGTTAACTGCTCGTTTGTGTCTAGGTTAAAAAAAACAAAGATATACTCACCCAAAGCTCTGAGCCGGATTCTTCTTAGACCGGTCCCTGGAATGTCTCGCCCCCTCCTTTCCAGTGGCCCAAGGTCCATTAAATCATTGTGGCCATACACTGTGCATAGATGTGAGGACACTGAGGAACATTCCAATGCTTCAGC